AACTTTTACTTTTAAATCTAACGAAGGTATAAAATCGACTTTGATGCTAAGACACTTTTTAGTAAGTGATTCATATTCACATCTTTTGACTTGAGCTGTTCTATAGTTTAATGAACTGGATGTTGCTGAATTTCAAAATTGATTAGTGCTATAGCTCTGTAAGTGAGCTTTAATCTTGTCTTGTTTTTAAATTGGTATCTTTAAGGCTGAAATGAACACGTCACCCCTTTCACAGGTACTTCTTTTTATCTATATGTTTATTGTAATTTTATAGCATTAATACATTTGTAATGAGAGTATTTCACCAACAACACCATAATGGTTTTGTAGTTCCCAAAGTACTGGAGTAGCAGGAAAGTTCTAACGTTAAAAGATATCTGTTTCACAGAAATAACATAACATCTCACGAAGAGATGTGACAAGCACATGACTCTCATACTAGAGAATGTAGAATAAAAATGACAATTTCTACTGTACCTGAATTCCCATAAAAACCACAATTCATTGTTGGATGTACTTCCAAGATAAACTTTGACAGCTCTACTTTGGGATTTCACCTATAACAGCTTCTGAATTTTGGAAATGCAAATCCCCATGCACAATCTTTTAACCATTATGTTTATCATCTTCATTAGGTAAAGAGTTCCATTTTGTGAAAGAATAGCACTGACTCAATGTTCTTTGTAGTTCATATTTACTCTTGTTTTTTGTTGTGTTTTTTTTTTTTTTACTGATCACTCTTCCTTTGTTCCATGGTAAAATATATGAAAGGTAAAACAGCATTTTTATTCTTTCTGGTTGGGGCAAAAAATGTGAGGATAAAGTTGAGGGAAAAGTATTGCATTTTAAAATGATTATATGAAACAAATGGAAGCTTGTATTTATACCTAAGATTTTACATTTCCATAAATCTCAGAAAGTGAAGTGGAAAGTTTACCTTATCCCTAAGCAATACCATTGGCCTTCTTGGTCACAACAAGGCTTGCTGATAGTCACTCTGTTTTCCACCAGGACAACCAGATCCTTCTCCACAGAGCTCCTCTCCAGCAGGTCATCCTCTCACTTGTATTGATACCTGTAGTTATTCCTCCTCAGATGTAGAACTTTGCACTTGCCCTTGTTGAACTCCATAAGGTTCTTTTCCACCCAGCTCAGCTTGTCTGGGTCTTATTGAATGGCAGCACAGCCTTCTGGTGTGTCATCCATTCCTCCCAGCTTCATATCATCAAACTTGCTAAGGGTGCATTCCATCCTTTCATCCAGGTCATTGATGAAGATGTCAAACAAGATCAGAACTTGGCTTGTCTTTCACTTTGCTGTTGCCATTGCTGAAAGACACAACCCTCTGCCTCTCTGTGCTCACATCCACTGTTTCGTCTCCATAAATGTTCAGCAAGCAAGCTTCAGTGAATGCTGGTGTGTGCAATTTTTTCTGCATGGAGAAATTCAGTTACAGCCCTTTGCTTCCTACAGTATTCCATGTCAGATGCCATTTTGTCAGACTGCCCCTCTGCTGCCAAATGTCACATAGCAACAAAATTTAGTAAAGTAAATCCAGCCTCTACTGCCATACCACCAATATGCTTCTAACACTGTGGGTCAATATAGTAAAATATGAGGCATTACTTTCAGAGCAGCACTTTTATAATAATTGTAGAAGTTGTCATGTTTGGATTTTCTTCAGGTGTGGCTCCAGAAAATACTAAGCTGAATAGCGCCCGAAATCTTGGCTAGATATGGGAGCATGTTTTGCTGAAAAGAGGAAGGCAAGACATTCAAAATAAAATCTTTTAGTCCTTACTGCCTCTTCTTGGCCATAGTTTTACATCAGCTGTAATTATGAAGTGCTGATCTATCTGTAAGTACTTTAGTACTTCACTGTAAGTACTTGCAGCACTTCACTGCATGCCTGCAAACAGAACATTCTGGTGTACTCTCCAGGGATGATAGTACAAGCAGGAACACCCAGAGCAGGACCAGGCCCATCCCCGTGTGTGCCAGTATTCAGTCACTCTTGTACAATTTTCTGACATTGAGACAAAACCTCCAGTGTTTCAGTTTGTGCCCATTTCAAACTGGGCAATGCTGTGAAGTACCTGTCTCTGTTTTCTTTATACCTTCCCTTCATGTTTGTATACACTGATAAGATACCTCCTGAAATAAGTTACATGGCAGTATCCTGAACTGTCACCATCAGCAGCTGTGATCTTTTTGTGCTGTCTTGCAATGCAGATGCATGCTCATGACTCTGTTCCCTCTCCAAGTACACTGTACTGTCTTTTTAAGCACTTTTCAAAACCATGATGTTTTAGTTTGCTGTCAGTGGCATCTTGCAATAGATGTTCCAGCTGTGTTTGAAGGAGCTGCTTCATTTTGCCAGGCAGCTTTCATTTTGCTGGCTATTCATGTAATTTTTCCAGTAGCAATAGAATAGTGGCCAAAAAAAAGCAACCATAGAGTGGCAGACAAGTGGTTTTGGTGTTTAACAGGGAGGCCTATGTTAATTAGAAGAAACATAGAAGCAGCCATGTGAAAATACAAATCTACTTCTCTTGGGGAGGAGAGTAAGGCTTGAAATTCTTGGAATGGTTTTGTTGAAGTAATTCTCTGCTGCAGAGGAGACTAAGGCTTGACATTCTTGGAATGGTTCTGTTGAAGTAATTCTCTGCTGCAGTCACAATATTTTTGTACTGCAATCCAGTATATATCGACCTTGTTAGGTTCTTGCCTGATTTTTATTTATTCATTTATTTAGTATTTGGGGTGAGTCCTAAATGATCTGAACAGTTGAAGCATTGGAGAGGCTTGTCAGACTAAAATGAAGTAGAAAGATGAAATCAAGGACGCCAAAGGAACAAAATAGAATGGATAAGAGTAAAATGGGAGAACAGAGAGATAATGGATATATTGGTCTTAAATCTTTTTGATACGTCACTGAGTATGGTTGGATAATTGTGCAGTAAGTACAGTAATGTTACTGGGAATGGTTTTAAAATACAAAAATTTGTGTACCAGTTGGAGAGGACTCAAACCCAGGTAAATGTTGTCCTGTTTTGTGTTGTTCTGTTATTTAATTTCTGAATCTTTTCTCTACATTCAGTTCTACCGTTATGACCATGTAAATCTGCCAGATAATAATAGTTACATGGAGAGCCATTAGGGGGCCATATGTATCCAGCTCATTTATAGCCTGCAGGGTTGTTTGTTTTGTTTTGTTTTGTTTTCCAAATAAATCAACTTGAAAAACCATAGCTATGTATATGTATGTAGCCTGTTTAAGTGTATAATCTTAATTTCTTTCCTTTGTTCAGCTTTTAATGGCCACATCTACATGTTGAAGATTGCCATAATTGGATAATACACCTTTTGGGGATGCATTGTGGTGAATATCTCTGTGTTGAATGATGTATATTTAAGAATATTTAAAACCTTGACTGTATTGTCATTTATGAAATTAATGGATCACAGAAAAACAAATATGTATAATAGATAGTTTATATTATTACAGTTTTTCTAGTTTTAATATTCAGACAATTAATATTCCATTTATCATGTATAAAATGTCAGAGAAGGAGGCTCAGCTTACTGCTGTCACAAGATGCGATGGACAGACAAGCCCAAACTAGGTGTTACGGCAAAGATGCCAGAAACATGAGATACAGATAACTCAAACTGATAAGCTCATTGCATAGCACTGAACATAGTCTAGTTTAGTTACTTTGCACCTAATGCTTCAGCTGGTGTATTTAGAGGTAACTTTATACTGTGCTACACAGACATATCTTCTCTTTCAACTTGAACAAACCATTCAGTCATTCTGTTTTTCAGTTTTGTCTTTTCAAAGTGGGCATAAGACTTGCTTATCCTAAGTTAATATCTCTGAGATGTGAATATTACAAGGAGAAAAGCCATTTAAGTGTGGAGAGAATATTTACATTTCATGTAAATATGATGCAATGCAGGTATTAAATCCCCATGCTGGAAATCTGTCAGAAGAACAAGACTTTAGGCACTGCTGAATATTTGAACTACCTATGTTGTGCCTTAGTAGTTAAGCTCACGAAAGGGAAAATGTTAATTATTCATAGTGCTTTGCTGTACCATAAAACTCGATTTATTGAGACTATAATTTGTTCAAGTTGCATGTAGTAGGAAAATATATCAGAAGTAATTAATTGTATTCAGGATATGATGAGGTAGATATATCCACAGAGGACAATTGAAAACAGTAGTGGCATGGTATTGATTGCTTTTTTGGGGGGAAAAGAAATCTTGTCCCATTTCTAAACGTTAACAATTCAGAGAGAAAAATTCCCACTTGAGAAGAATGCTTTCCAGGTTGCTTCACTGCCAGGTGTTTGACATTGAGGGGAGCCTTAGATGAATGAAGCTTATGGCAGCTTTTGGAAATGACCGACTCCAGGGAATCTCTGCTTCCTGCTGTGAAAGTTTCTGTTTTCAAAGCACATCAGTTTCAGTGGGAATGTTCCAGTAGTCCCATATGCTACTTCTGACAGAGAGGGAAGTTTTTAACCTGAATATGAGACAGCTACTGAAGAGTTTCCCTTGCTGCTAACAAAATGAATTTCAATATGTTGCCAATGAACAAGCGATATGTTCCCAACTTCTGATGGAATTTAAGTCTATCAATTATTAAAGGAAATTATGCTTTGTTTTTCTTTGTCTTTTCCCTTTCAACTCCAGTACCTGCTACTGATAGGGCTTTGTGAGTTCTGAGGCTGAAAAAGAATCACCTAAACAATATGCTAGTTTGCTTTGAAACTCTTGCTATATTTTCCTCCCCTCCCTCGTATGCTCTCTCCTTGACCTAGCAGCAGGAAGCCTTTGTCTGAGGTGTTCATCTGGAACAACTTTTCCACACTTGTTTTCATGTTCTGTTAGATTACAGGGCAGCAGGCCTACCTTTGAAGCTCCCTTCTCTTTTGTTTCTTTGCAGTGCACTCCAGTAATTAACTTTGTCCTTCTTTTATTTGTTCCAGTCAATCGCAGTCCACTCTGCTGAGCATCTTCTCCCAGGAGTACCAGGTTAGAAGTTTTCTCCTTTGTGAGGGTTGACAGGTGCCTAATTGAATGATGAATGTCCCTTTATTTCTTTGTAATTGAACTGCCAGCTTTCTGATTGGTTTGGAGGATGTTCCCTTTTCCACATCAAGCACCGCCTGAGTCTCAGTGGATGGCTGCCAAGCCTACCCATCCATCTGTCTAATAACATCTAGCCTTTGCTTATTTGGTGGACCTGTAATAAATTATGCTAAACCATTATTATTCTGACAATAATAATTTCCCTGTGTTGCGTGGTTCCATGTGCTAAATGTTTGCTGACTTGCACTGTCAGTGCTGCTTTCCATTGCTGACAGAGATGATGATAAATGACCATTGCCGGAGTGGCAGAAGGCAAGAGAGGCAGAAAATGGAGTCATTTATCATGAGATGACAGGTGTCAGTCAAGTGGCAAGTCTCTGTGGAATTACTTTTTGTAGTTTTTCAAATAAGTTGTTTTTAAGCAATGTTCTTCCTGGTTAAAAATGCCAATTGAATTGTAAAACTAGCGTACACCAGACTTAGATGGAATTGAATTGGGGGAAAATTAATACAAAGATTGAAAGACAGAACAAGTTTTACTTTGCCCTCTGCAGCCTTCAGTAAACTTATTTAGATTCAATTATTGTGACCTTATTGGCTTTTACATATATGGTACATTGCAGTACACTATGAAGACATTCATTTCAATTGAACATCATTTCTATATAGAATCTCAAAACATAGTTCAGTTTGTATAACAAAGTGTAGCCTAGGCATGTGTTTGAACAGTCATGATTTTTGTGCTTTGATCTATGACACATTTGTAAGACTGTTTTTCTTTTGTTTTTCAAGAAACAAATAAAAAGAACACATGCCAAGCATCATACTGCAGAAGCAGTTGAATCTTACTACCAAAGGTATGACCTCCTTACCCTAGTTAAGAGTGTTATCACTAATTTTTATCATAATTATAAGTAAATTAGCACCATTAGCTTATGAAGATGATTTTCTATAAATATAAATTAACAGTTTGGGATGAATGTTACAGAATGTTCACATAAACATGTTTATCGGTGTAAATATAGAATATTTCAGCCTGATCAAGAAGTGTTTAATTTCCTTGGCTTTTAAGCAAATACTACTTCTTATAGTGCATATGAGAGCATTCATTATATACTGCCTATAGTTAGTAATTGTGTAATTTCAGTGTCAAGACTAATATTAATGATAAACTCCTTACAGCTAGTGAGCTTCTTCTGTTGCAGCTGCTTGTACTTTTAGAAAAAGCAGCTGTTTTACATTGCAAAAGTTACATACTAAATTTCTGTATTGCCAGCTTTAATTTTTAGATCACTCCTGTTTTATCAACAGAAGTGTCAGAAATAGCTTTTAAGGGAGAATGTCATTTTACGATATTCTGTAATTATTTGTGTCTTAAGCTAATAAAATGTTTGCGACATCTTATAGTTTGTCTGTTACTTCTATACACTTTATCTAAAATGTCGCAATGACATAATTGGGGCACAATGATAACTGGTAAAAATGTGCAATTAAAAAATACTTTGCAGACTGACATATCTGAAGAGCTTACATGGCAAGCAAGTTCATACTTGTGATTATAGATGTCTGATATCCATGCTTAATGTTAATCTGTATGAACCAGGAAAACAAACAAAAAGCTTCCATTTGTAAACAATTAAGTACTCTCTGTGCTTCTGCAGAATCATATGTTTAAACCTAAGCACAAACTGATATGTTTAAACCTAAGCACAAACTGATTATATCAGAAAGAAAGTCTTGTGTGAATTGTACTCTTTGGGGAGCTTGATTTTCTTTTTGAAGAAGCTATATAGTTTTGTAACAATTTGTACTGGATCACATCACACTTCTCCCAGTGTTGATGTTTGTTTAGGAAGAATATTGGTTTTAAATTTTGACATTTTAATATATATGAGAACTTAATTTAATTACTTTTTATTAGTATAATTTTAGTGAAGTGCCCTATGTTAATTGTAACTGTAACAATTCTTTTCTTAGAACACATGCAAATAATGTAAACCCTTTTTATGATAATAATATTACTAGTCTCATTACACTGAACCTGACATGCTGAATCAGATTTTGCTTTTTGCAAAGCAGCAGTGTTGTTGGTACAGTGAAGTTATAGGTGTGATTAAGTTTGGCTAACATGAGGTAGGAGTATTTGGTATTCTGTCTCCTTCTGTACACTCTGAAGTATGTGGCAGTACATAACTAATGCATTATGTATGAAGCTATATGGTAGCTATGCTATTACTGGATATTGTATGTATTGCAAACTTTTAACGTGGTTGGACAAAATGCACATATTTTAAAATCAGGTATGTTCTGGTTAATATATAGAAAACTCATCTCAATCCCATTTTTGATTTATGGTGCAATGTCTTGTAGTCTGCAGGGGCACACTGCTTGAGTCAGAAGCCAGTTTGAAATGCTGCAAGTGTAAACATGACAAACATGTTGACTACTCTTTTGTAGCATCCATCTTACAACTGTACAGTCTGTGTGATATCCTCCTCCTACATACACACAAATATTTGTGCATTCCTCTGTCTGAAACAACACAATTTTGAATGTAGTCATAATCCAGTGCTACTTGTTGGGAGAAAGCATAAGTGTGGGTTAGTGGACTATTTCCTACTGTTTGGCTGAGACTGGTATAGGCTTCAATTTGGACCAACAGAAAGCGAAGTTATAAGAAGGATCAGCAAACTTTTCATGGCAGTATTGCCATCAACAAGTGAAATCCGTTAGTCCATAATGGAATTGCCAGTAGCACTCCATTGTTAGCTGTAGCTGTGATGTTTGATCATCTGGGTGCATGTTTTCGAACATTAGTCTCAATCAAATCTTCTTGGTTAAGTATTTTGTTCTTTAACTGTCTTTTTTTTCCCCACCATTATAAATTTTCAAGTGTTCAGATTTACATGAGACATCTTATTTTGTGTTTTTACATAGAATTGAAATAGATTATAGCAATAGGCTTTTATCAGTTCCTTTATTCATTATGCCTCAGAATAACTTGCAAACAAAAAGCCATTATCCTCTGTGAAGAGTTACATATGAAGATATTAAACCCATTTCACGAAAAGGTAAAATGATAATAATATCTGTAGCTAATGAGCAGAAGAAGGGCTTCTGATGAATAGATAATGACAGAACTAGAAAGGCTGTGGCCTTCTAATGATTTGCTCTATAAGTAAAGATAGGATAAATGAGCAGGTTCAGATGTTGTTCTTTACCAGATTGTTGCAAAGCAGAGTGGTTTCCAAAAGTATTCTTCATTCCATCAACTCTGAAAATAAGATCCTTTATAGATCCTAAGTTCTTCTTTTAATATTTCTTTTAATATTCTTCACAATATTAAGTTCATTTTTACACTCTGATTTCACTGAAGTTAGTCTTTTGTATTTAAACTACTACCTACTATTACCTTTGTTGATAAAATCTGTGATTAAACTTCTGAATGTATTTTTTGTGGATAGTAACAAATTAAATAAGATGTACAGTGATTTGCACTGTGTAGCTGAAGATCAAATGGAACTCAAAATCCTTTCAGTGAATAATAGATATTTTTGTTTTGCATCTTTAAATAATAGAAATGTAATTTGTTTATATGGCTTTTTGAATCTTTTTGAAAGACCGCTGTCTTGATTTGTTATCCGTTTTTTTTACCAGCAACTTGAATCAGATTGTTGTATATTGCAAATGAATAGAAAGCATTGCTGGAGAGTTTGTGATTATTTAAAATACTTATTTATTTGAATGCTTCTCATGAAATATGCTGTGCTGGGCTGTACAGGAATTACCTTTGTCTTGTCTAGGTATCTGCATGGGGTGATGAAAAATGCCACTGCCCCTGTTTTACTGGAGCTGGCCAATGAGGTAATAATCTTCACTTTTTTCTTTGATTTTCCAAATGTAGAACATAAAGGGCATATCTATAGTGACATTACTGATAAACGTAATTAACCTAAAATAAATGGTTTCCAGGCACATTAGACATTTAAAATTGTTCCCCAGTCTGTTAGTACTTATAACAATTAGACAAAAAGCCTAATTTATTAATAAATCAGTTAATTTAATTAGTCTCCTAACTTCAAGAAGAACTGTAGGAAGCTGGATTTTTATCTTGCTAGAAATTTCAGACTGTGCATAGGTCTTTAAAGCACAATTTTACTAAAAGTTCCTACATTGATTAAGTGAAGTCACATCTGTTAATAACTTTTAAATAACAAAACTAAGATTTTTGTTTTAATACAAACGGTTAATACAGTTCATTTTCCTGACCCCTTTTTAATTCTGTTCATACAGATTAGAGGATGACTAATGAAAATTGCTTAATAGAAGACAATTAAGCAGAATAAATTCCTTGGTATAGCTGTTTCCTAGAAAAGCTGGTCTGTGAAAAGTTTCAAACAGTTGCCATTAAAAATCAGACAAATTTATTGATACTGTTTATTAAGTAAAATACGAATCTGGAGAATCAAAGTATTAAAATATACTCTCTAAAGCACTACCTTGAAAACATAAAAAGTTTGAAAGAGTGGTGGTGAGCCTCCTAGATAAAAAATCGATCAACTTATCTACCCTTTAAGATCAAAGATATTTGTTCACAATAATAATAGCAATATT